GGGTTCTAGGAGGCTAACCTAGGCAGTGAATGGATTTCTTGAACAATATGTGGTTTTCATGAATTCCAAACCCGAGTAGGAACTAAGAGCAATTAGGCTGAGAACATAGCCAGAGACATGGCACAGTCAGAGTCTGGCTGAACAGCCAAGACTGGCCATTGGCCACCCACAGCTGCTGGACTCTCATTTCCTGGAGAATAGGCCCCGCCCCCACACCTTTCTCCTTCAAGGGTCAAAGTCCTGGGCAGGAACATTCTGCTGGCAAGCCTGGGACTATGTTTCCAGAGAGGCAGGCAGATTCTGCCCTTTCCACTTCTGCAGGGGGAAAGGTGACTCTGTTTTCTACCAGGTCCCTAGGAGTAGAGGATTTCCACAACACAAGACCCAAGTTCCTCTGCCAAGTACCACACAGTTCCCTCGGCTTTCCACAGTCTCTCTTATTTCTAGGCCTTGGCACATGCTGACGTTTTTGGAATATGCTTCTTTCTCTCCTCTAGGCAAATCCTCCTTATCTTTAAGATTCCATCTCACTTATATGAAATTTCCCTCAAATCTGAGTTAGAGGCCCCTCCACCGTGTTCTCTCTGAAACCTATTCTTTCCCCAGTATTGCATCCAACAATGTTTTATTTGTATTTTTCCCCACTTGAGTGCAAGTTCTCTAAGGATGGATGCCCTCCCTTTTACTAACCACTGGATCCTTGGCACCAAGCACAATACTGAGCACATAATAAATGCTCCTTGGAAGTATTTTGAATTAATCAATTAATGAATGAAGGAAATGAATATCAATGGCACCATCATCCCACCAGTCACCTAGCTCCAAATTTAGACATTCTTATCACCATCTGGTCTGTCTCATTCATTGTATGTCCATAGGCTAGGCCCTCATTATCTTTCTCCTAGACCTTTGCAATAGCTCCCTATAGAGGACATCTGTTATTTCTGCCTACCCAATGGTCCTTTCTTCTGATTTTGGAAACTTCCACCATTTACTTTGGGGGAACTACTTCTCCCATTCCCTGCAGTCTTGAGGGAAGTGTCAGTCAAGGTCCCTTTTGGCTTTCACCAAGGAATAAACAAATCTAAAACGAATTTGATTTTGTTTTTTTGTTTGGGTACCCAGAATTGAACGCAGGGCCTGGCCTGATAGGCAATTGCTCTATTGTTCAGCTACATTCCCAACTCCAGAAATTTGACTCTTGAATGGAATATACAAATATAGAAAATGAGAAATGACTCACAAGAAATTCTTCATTGCATTTTGGAGGTGACTTCATCAAGTTTAGAACCAAATGAAGGAGTAGTCACAGAAATGAGGCAGAGGGAGATCAGAATATTATCTTTATTTCTGACAAAGCTGTTTTGAGATGTGTCTTTACCAGTAGACAAGTGGGCTGACTAATAGTGGACACAAAAATTAAACTTCCCCACCCAGTCCCAGGTAGTGCTAGAAAACCATAGACTTAGGCAGTCTTAGTGATGTGTATCTATAGTCTCAGCTACTGAGGAGGCTGAGGCAGGAAGATCCCTCAAGCCCCAGAGTTCAAGGCTAGCCTGGGCAACAGAGTGAGACCTTATCTCATTTTAAAAAAAAGGAAAAGAAAAAAATTCATAGTCTTTTGTGTAAGGTCTAGGCCCTGAGAAATTTTGAACATGCAGGAGAGCAAAAACCCTGTAGTTATTGTGGGAAGAAAGATCTAAAAGGGAAAAAGAAAAAACTGAGTTGAGCTCAAGTCATTCTTCCAAAACTCACTAATCAGATATTAATTAATTATATATCTATATCTATCTATCTATATCTATATCTATATATATCTATATATATATATATATATAAAATTCCTCCTCCTCTGGAGAATAACAGGTAGATAAAGGGAAGAGGCTAAAGTGTTACTCTAAAGGAGGTCCCAGCTGGGTAGGTGGTGCATGCCAATCATCCCAGTGTCTCAGGAGGCTAAGGCAGGAGAGTCACAAGTTCAAGTGCAGGCAACTTATTGAGACCTTATCTAAAAATTAATTAATGTATGTCAGTGGTAGAACACTTCTGGGTTCCATCTCCAGTATCGCAGGAAGAAAGAAAGGGAGGAAGGAAGGGAGGGAGGGAGGAAGGGCGGGAAGAAGATTATCTACTCTCACATGGAAAAAGCTGGGGTTGGGACTAGATGTTTCTTCAGAGCTGCTCACTTTTATTCCTGATATCTAGATTACCCAAAGTAGCCCTGGTAATTATCATTCCTGAGGCTTACAGTTGTACAGCTGTATCTTCCCAATGAATTCCCTTTTTTTGCTGAATGTAGCCAGAATCTGTTTTCTATTACTTGTACCCAAAGAACTTATATTAGTTTCCTACTGCTGCTCTAGTGAAACATCACAAATTTAGTGGCTTTTAGAAGACAAATTTTTCATGATATTACAGTTTTGGAGATCAGAAGTCCCCAATGGGTCTTATGTGAAGTCAGGTGTGAGCAGGGTCACATTTCCTCAGGTATCTAGTGGAGAATCCACTTCCTTTCTTCTCCAGTTTCATTCCTTGACTTGTGACTGCCCATTCCACAGCCAGCAATCATATCACTCTGAGCTCTGCTTGTGTCATCACCGACCCTTCTCTTGACTCTCCTGCCTCCCTCCTTCCCTTATGAGGACTTTGTGATTATATTGGGACCACTCGGATAATCCAGGATAATCTCTCCATCTCAAAATCCTTAACTTAATCACATCTGCAAAGTCCCTTTTGCCATGTAAGGTAACATGGTCATAGGTTCCGGCGATTAGGATGTGGAATTCTTTGAAGGGCTGTTATTTCTGCCTGCCACAAAATATTAACAGAAATACCTTTTAAATTGCCCTGTAGCCACCTCTTTTCTCTCAAATCCGTCCTGTAACTAATTTTTAAATAATGTGAATCTGGTCTTTATTGTCCTACCCAAGAAACCTTCCCATTCCCCACAGCCCATTGAATAAAATCCAAGCACACCTGCTCTATCCTGTTTGTGAGGGTTTGCTCTGAGAGTTCTCTCAGTCAGGGATGTCCCCCACCCCAAAGTCAAAGCCTCTTCATCCATCAAGTGCTTTCTGTTTCACAAAGACTTTCATTATTATCACTCTAGCTGGAATCCAGCTGGACTGTGAGCTCCACGTCTGTTACCTGGCAGTGCTGGATCTCTGAGCTCAAATCTTTGCTCAACCACAGGCTAGTCATTGACCCTGAGCAAGGTACAATACTTAACATCTCTGTGGCTTAGTTTCCTCTATTTAAAAAAATGCTGATATAAAGTAGCTACCCTATACACAGGTGGCTGTGAGAATTAAATGAGATGATGCATATAAATTGCTCAGTCCACTACTTGGCACATAGAACACAATAATAGGTGGATAGTAGCAGTTATTAGTTAAAATTAAATGTACTAAATGAATGAGCTACTCCCTTCTCCTGGAATGTCAATATCTTTACTATGCCTCAAAGCCTAGAACATTTTTAATTGAATGAATAAATCTTACATTTTGTATATTTATGTGTAGTTTCAGTTGCTTTCCCTCCTGGGGTCCATCCCTGGTCAGAATCATTGTTGGTGGAAAGGGAAATCTGTTCCTACACACCTTGCCTAGTGCTCTGCTCACCACACACCTTAGTTTGTCTTATTGAAGTGAATTTTGGCCACATAGAAACTTCTACCAGAGAAAATGGACTAGTTCCCCTTAGGCACTGTGCTCCTAGAAGGGGCACCAGATTGTCACTCAAAGTCTTTACTGTAAGAATGCTACTATGAAACTCTGAACTGGTTACTGCATATCTCTAGATGTAGGTTTCTTTTCTGAAAAATGGGCATAACAATTCCTACTTTCAAGGTCACTGGGAAGATTCAACAAGATCAAGTAGGAACCCTGTGCCTCCAGTGTGGAAATGAGAAATGAACCTTAACTTCTGTGAGGTAAAGTAGAAAAGACCATAGCTGAAAGGAGAGCAAATTCACCACTAAGATGTAGTAAACATTTGCTCTAAATCCGTGGTGGAACATAATAGTTTCCTAATCACACTGTCAATAAAGATCTCAAGGGCCCTTGGGGCTGGATCAAACTTTCACACACCAAAAAACTGTAGAAATCATTTCTGTCCAAGAGAGGGTTGTCTCTCTTGAAAAAACAAACAACAAAAAAAGGAAACTTATCTTTTTCCTGACTTAAAAGTTTTTTTCTTATAAAATTAATACCTGCTTAAATAAAATTCATTATAGAATTTTTGGGAAATACAATAATGCGCAAAGAAAGGGAGACGCTCCTCTAAATGACACTGGAGGTCCCCCCTTGCAACTGTTAAATAAAATTGGGATTACTGTAATCGCAATTTTGTATCATTTGGGTGAACGTTTATTTTCCCCATGTAATTAAATACGATGGGAGAGATTCCAGTACACAAATTTGTTGCAATTTATTTAACTAATCTCGAATTGTTGGACATTTGAATTTCTGCCTTATTTATTTATTAGGGCTATTGTTAAGTGAGGCAGCATCTGTTACACAAATCTTTACCCATATCCTTGATACTATCCTTTTAATTCCTGGAAGTGGAATTGCCGGACCAAAGAGTGCGTGATGCATACTGTTGATTTACTTTCTAAGAATGATTTTACCCATTTATACACCCACTGGCAAGTTCATAGGACTAAAATGGAGTTGCGGATGTCATTAACTGTCAAATACCGAACTAGAACCCCTAGCCTCGGCTCTGGTCTTCTTTCACGTTTTCCCGCCCACTCCGTACACCAGCCTCGAGCGCCACGAGCGCCCCGCCCAACTTAGTACAAGATGGCCCGCCTCTTCCCAACTCCCCCAGCGATTATGCCCAATAAGAAGCAGCAGTTATTAGTGTCGCCACACGATTGGTAAACTGAAGGGTCAGTCGTCCTCAGGGGCGGGCTAGAGAGGTATGACGGACGTGGCGACCGGCCAGTGTGAGCGCGAGCGGGGCGTGCGTGCCGTGCGTGGCTCACTGGCCTGGTAGTTCTGGACCTGTGAGGTGTGCGGGCGGGTGGCTGCGAGAGGCTTTGGCGGACATGGCTCCCAACGCGCCGGCAGCCGAACCCGAGTGTCCTAAAGGCATCCGGGCTGTGCTGCTGGGGCCACCTGGGGCTGGCAAGGGTACGCAGGTGAGCGTCCGGACCTGGCTGGGCAACGGAGCACGCCAAACTCCAAGGTCAGGGCGGCCGGAGACCCGGAAGCCCTTTTCTCGCCCAGCGGCCGGCGGTGGGCTGAGGCCTGGGGGGACCCTGGCCAGGATCTCCGGTTTTGGTGGCGTGTTTAGGGGGAGGGTCCACATAGGAGATCGAGGAGTTTGGATTAGGGTTAGCGTGCTTGAAGGATCCAGAATTGGCGTGTCGTGTGGGGGGAAAGGATCTCGGGGTAGTTGGATGCCTTGTGGGTTAGCTTTGAGGGTTGGGGTGAGCCAGGGACTCTGAATTATAGACTCAACGGAGACAAGATTCCTTGCGAGTTGGAAGTGAATTGTCCAGTTAGGGTCACGTTCCAGGCACTACGGGTAGGAGAACTTTTTTGATAATGATTAACGACTGCTGGTAGAGGAGCATCTCCAACACGTGAGGCAGAATGGGAGCTGGTGTGTGATTAGGAGTGCAGCTAAGAGATATGATAGGTGTGAGCCACGAGTTGGAGGAGGGGGTGAACACCGAACAGCTGAAGGCTGAGCAGCTCAGGATAATTTAAATGATTTTAGATGAGAGAGAACTTAAAAATTTAGCTTCATGAATCAACAGATAGGAAAACAGGCCCAGAAAAGTCAAATGACTTTCCCAAGTTAGTGAAATTGGTTTTATGGAAACTTGGGCCTCCAAAGGATTGGAGTCTGAAGTTGGCTTTTTGGCCTAGCAGACTACAGGGCCTCACTTGGCATCTGAGCCCCCTCTAGATCTGGGAAATAAAGGGGCGATTGATCAGAGTTGGGATTTATGATCTCATTTAAGTTTTGGAAGCCCGTAGGTTGATTATTGATGTCCCCTTCCTGCCCAGGGTTTAGCATTGCCCCACAGCACAGACCCTGGGCCTTGGATTTCAGCCCATCATTAGGCACTAAAGAGGGAATTTCTGAAAGTCTGGGCTTCTAGGTGAAGGGGGACTGTTTTATGCCCACTCTTCATAGCACAGACCAAGTTTAAAAGTTTTGGCAAGCCTGGCCTGGTGGCCATGCCTATAGTCCCAGCTACTTGGGAAGCTCAGGCAAGAGGATCATTTTGGCCATTAGTTTGAAAACAACCAGGGACACTTTACCAAAAAACAAAACAAAAACTTGGCAAACAGACTATGTCACTCATTCTTGGGACCCCTGTGGCACTCGGCACATTACTTGACATTTATTAGGATTACTGAAAATGGATGAACGACACAGATTAATGGGTGATGAGGAAAAGGGAGGTCTAGAAGGCTCAATACATTCCTGTGACTTTGCTTTCCACCTGGGTCAGGACGGACCAAGACCACTTTCCCTTTTCTCACCATAAACTGAGCTAATTCTTCTTGGGGCCCCACCCAGTACCTAATCCCCTTGTACTCAACGATGTTGACATCTCCTTCCTGTTACCACCTCAATTATTAGGTAACCTGTAGCCTAGAGATGTTTAATCTTAGACTTTGCAGATTTTTGCTGTGAGTGACTCAGTATAAACAGTAGCTTAAATGCATCTTTGGCTCTTTTCCTTAACTTACATTGAAATCGGTAGGTTCAATAGTTGTGAAGTGCACAACCATCCTAGTGCTGAGACAAGAGCTTTATAGTCTAGCAAGCTGTGTAACTTCAGAGTCTTAGTTTTCTCACCTGAAAAATGAAAAATTCACCAGGATGCTGAACAATTATGCTTCATATATTTATAATGTGGACAGCCTAGCACACTGTAGGTGTTGCATGAATATTGACTCCCTTATCTCAGTAACATATCTCCTCTCCCCCTGACTCTAATGTATTTCAGTGTAAAAGATGACTAATTCAGGACATTTGAGGAAAACAATACAGTTGATTAATGTAGGTGATGAATGGCAGAAGTTGACCATGGTAGTTGATGAATGGTAGAAGAGAAGGCTTTGTGGAGAATATTAGAGCTGGGACTTGAGGAAGGAGTAAGATTTACACAAGTCACAATCTCTGTACAGCTTCTTTTGCATTGTGGGAACCATAGGATTACTGGTGGTTGTAGTTTCATGGAATTCAAAAAGAGTTAAGCAGGGTGTGGTGACACACACCTGTAATCCCAGTTTACTCAGGAGGCTGAGCTAGGAGATTTGCAAGTTCAGGGCCAGCCTGGGCAACTAAATGAGACCCTGTTAAAAAATAAAAAGGGCTGGGGATATAGCTCAATGGTAAAGCACCCTGGGTTCAACGCCCAGTACTGGGAAATTTAAAAAGGTTATAAACCAAAGGAAGGTAGCAAGTGGCAGTCTGTAACAACATTTCACCTGCAGACATACTCCACACCCATACTTTTTTATTATGTTGAGTTTTGAATACGTCAAACAAGACAGGATGGTGTAATGGATCCCCATAACCATTAGCTGGTGGTCATTGCTTCCCCATCCACTCTCCCTTCACAAAGCATCTCCCAGGTATCATAATTTATCATTTGTAAATATTTCAACGTACATCTCTAAAAGATTAATTCTTTTTTGAAAAAATATGAATACAATATCCCCTAAAAATTAACAATTTTAATAGTAGTTAATGTTCAAATTTCCATCTGTCTCACAAATATGATAGTCTCTTTTAATTTTTTGCTCTTTATTTTTTTTTAAATCCCACATTTTTGAACGGAAAACTAGTTTGTCCTGGGAGTATTATTGCTCATTTTTGAAATTTTTGATTGTGTTCCTATGGTGTATTTAACATTTTCTTCTGTCCTATTTCTTATAAATGTTTAGTTTAACCCATATACTTAATCAGATTTAGGATCAATTTATTGGCCCAGCTACTACAGGTGATGCTCTGCTCTCCATTAGCAGGCACCTACTTGATGCTTTTGTGACTCTGGGGTATTCACATCCATAGCTGTTCAGTGCCTAGGTCCATTAATTCCTTATGGGTAGCAAAGTGATGATGTTCTAATTATATCACTCCTTTTTCATTTCTTAGCTGAACTATCTCTGCCTACTTTATTTGTACCCATTAATATGGTTCATATTGAAAAAGTAAGATAATGCTTACTTTGTTCTCTTTAATTGTCAGCTTTCAAAATAATACGTACTATGGAATATTTCAGTTGGGAAATTTCTCTTTAAATTCAATTTCTCTTTAAACTCAGAGCTCCAGTTTATCTTAAAAAATTAGAGAGCTGGGGTTGTGGCTCAGTGGTACAGTGCTTGCCTCACATGTTTGAAGTACTAGATTTGAGCCTCAACACTACATTAAAAATAATAAGGGCTGGGGATGTGGCTCAAGTGGTAGCGCGCTCGCCTGGCATGCGTGAGGCACTGGGTTCGAGTCTCAGCACCACATAAAAATTTTAAAAAATAAAGATATTTAAATAATAATAATAATAAATAAACAAAGTTATTTTTAAAAGGGGGGCGCTGCAGCTGTAGCTCAATGGTAGAGTGCTTGCCTGGCACATGTGAGGCACTGGGTTCGATTCTCAGCAACCCATATGAATAAAATAAAGGTCCATCAACAACTAAAAACATTTTTAAAAATTAAAAAAAATATTAGAATGCCTGGCAGCCATGGGCCTCCATTCCAGCACAGCAGTAGTCTGTTGCAACTGAGTAATATTGTTACTTTTGATGGTCAGTGTACTCTCCTGTCCCCTGCACAGTCCCCCTTTGCTGCCTATTGCTTACATTAGAATCATTTCACTCATTTACATTGCCTGACTGGCCCCCATTGATAAATATTTGCCACCTTTAGTGTAAAATTTATCCTAACCTGGAATTAGTGCCCAGTGCCTTCTCAGAAGTTTTCTTCCTATTACTACTTCCTGCTATATCTATTATTTTAGGTATTTTATGTTGGCATGACTTAAATCTTTTTTTTAATTCCTCAATTTAAAATGGTTAACCATTTAAAAACTGTTTTTGTGTCAGTGAAAGGTTTTAAAACATCTAGAATACTTAGGTTTGTTATTTTATTTAAATAACTTTATTTCTGTCTCCCTTCTAGAGTTGGATGTTCCTCCAGTGTGGCCAAAAACAAGTGTGTTTCTTTTCTTTTCCTCTGCCAGTCCTTCCTTGTTTTTCCAATGTGTCCAGCTTTTGCCAGTTATTTGAGGCCAAGTACACTTAGGCAATCACTTGCCATCTCCCAGTTCAGGTTTATTCAATTACTCTAGTGAATTTAAATTCACAGCAACTCTTAAGACCCACACTCACATCCCCTCTGTTACAGTTGGAGAAATAGAGTCCAATGACTTGTTCTCTTGGCTCTGGAGCAAGTAATTGGTAGAGATTATGCCTGAATGATTCCAGAGCTCTGTCTGCTGCTGTCTGCTTCCCCAAGTTTTCTCCTATGCTGTGTGACTCAGTAGAATGTAATAATTACAGCATAGTTGTAACCCTTTACTCAGTTATGTGACAGACCCCAAGCTAAAGATTTTGCATGCTTTATCTGATTTAATTTTTATAACCCTAGAAGATATGTTCTGTTGTTATTCATACCTTTTTACAGAAATTGAGGCCCTAAGGCTATATCTTGCTGCAGGATACAAACACAGTAAGTAGCAAAGGCAGGATTTGAACTCATGTCTGCCTGATTCTTCATCAGTTATCATTTTGGATATGCATACAAGAAGTACACACACTAGTTATCTATAAAGCACCAATTTAAAATATATAAATGAGGGCTGGGGCTGTAGCTCAACGGCAGACCGCCTGTCTAGCATGAGTGAGGCACTGGGTTCAATCCTCAGCACCACATAAAAATAAACAAATATAGGCATTCTGTCCATCTACAACTACAAAAAAAAAATTTTAAATAAAATGTATAAATGAGTGGAAGGTAGAACAATAAGAGTAGAAGGAGAATAGTGGGGAGGGGAGAGGAGGGAAGGTCATCAGGGACTGAAATGGAGTAAATTAAATTCCATGCATGTATTATGTCAAAATGAACACAACTATAATGTCCAAATAAAAGAAAAAAAATAAGTAAATAGAATTTTAAAAATACGTTCTAGTAGAAGTTGCCCTGTGGGAAGCATCAGATAAGTAACACTGACAAATGCCAAGTTAGTTCAGGAATAGAACAAGAACTGTAATTTGTCACAGGCCTCCTGTATATCATCCTACCCAACCAGTGAGGTTGGTGATGATAGCCCCAGTAAGTTAAGAGGCAGAGCTGAAATCTAAACACAGTTTCTATAATTAAAAAAAAAAAAACAACCAACAATAAAAAATTAAAAAAAAAAAAAAACTTTTACATGAAAGTATAATATACATAGGGAAAGATGCAAATACTTTTTAAAATGATGAATTTTACAGTGTTAACACAGTTTTGTATAACTTATACCCATTATCAAGACAGAACATTGCCAGCACTGTGAAATCTTATGGTTGCACACACACACGCCCCTCTCATATGGACAGCTGTGCTACACTAACACTCGGTTGTTTTAAGGCCATTTAATGTCGTGGATAAGAGCTAGGCCTTTACAGTCATGGGGCCAGCTGCCAGCTCTGCTTTTACTAGTTTTGTGATCCTAGACAACTAGCCTCTGAATTTCTTCTGTAGAGAGCAGATAGAAATAGCTCATACCTCTTGGGTATGTATTATGCATACTAAATATTGTAAATTAATGCTTGGAAAATTGCTTGGCATTTTCTTCAGAGGAAGAAGTCATTGGTAAGGTTTTTTGTTGGGAGAAATGGATGCAAAATTTTACTATAGAGAAGGATATGACTGAGACCAGTAGAGGAAAGGAAGAGGGCATTCCTTTGTAGAGAAGAGCCTATTTTATGTGTGGGAACCATACATAACAGCGACTTGCCTGAGTGGTGCCAGGCAGGACATACATGTAGAGTACTTTCAGAAGGAAGTTTGAAGAGCTTGCCAAATGTAGGATTGATTGTGGAGGGCATTGAGTGTCAGACTAAGATATTTGTCTCAGTACTAATGTCTTAGCACTGAGATATAGGAAGCTTCTAAATGTGTGTGTTTGTGTGGTAGGGAGAGGGTGGTATATCCAGCAGTATTGCAGGATATGATTCTTTTGTTTTGTACTGGAGATTGAACCCAGGGGTGTTTTAGCACCAAGCTACCTCCCCAGTCCTTTTTACTTTTTTATTGTGAGACACGATTCCACTAAGTTGCTTAGGGCCTTGCTAAGTTGCTGAGGCTGCCCTTGAACCTGCTGTCTTCCTGCCTGAGTCTCCCAAGTCACTGGGATTACAGATGTGCACCACCTTGCCCAGCTATGCTGAATGATTTTGCACACATACTCTCATTAAATCCCCATGGTAGTTTTGAGTGAATTATAGAACCTGGTTTCCAATCCAGATTTGTACCAATACAAAACTCAGTCTCTTGCCACTACCCCAGAGTGTCACAAACTGTGTGTGCATCAGAATCCCAAGGCTCTACATGAGAACCCCTCAATCGTAACTGTAAGGGTGGATCTAGCATTTATACTTTAAGCAAGTGCCTCACGTGATTGCAATGATATAGTGCTCTACTTAGGATAGGGTTACTTCCAGATAAGATCCATTGTATGTTAAAAATGCATTTAGTACATATAATCTACCAAACATAGCTTAGCAACACAGTATATTGTACATTATCAGCTGTTTCCACTCATGATCTTATGACCAACTGGGAACTAGAGTCTGAAACCAGTGGCTATTGCCTTTGCCCAGCATCACAGAAGAGTGTCATTCCACGTTTTGCTAGCCTATGAAAGTTCAAAGCTTCAACTGAATGTATATCTCTTTAAAACCATGTAAAAGCCAGGCATTGTAGCATACTACTGTAATCCCAGTCTCTTGGTAGACTGAGGCAGGAAGATTACAAGTTCAAGGCCAGCTGAGGAAACTTAGCTCAAAATAAAAAGGACTGGGATGTAGCTTAGTGGAAAAGTGCCCCAGGCTCAATCTCCAGTATCAAAAAGAAAACTATGATAAAACCAAAATATCCTAAGTTGAACTGGGAGAAGTCAGGATCCTTCTATACTGATGTTTGAGAACTACTACGCCCCAGCACGCTGCCTCTAGTAGTTTTAGCCATTCCCATCCACTCCTCGCAAAAAAGTTCTCCACCACCCACAAGATCCTCAAAGAGGTAATGAGTATGGTACTTGGGTTCAGAAATAGTCTGGCCAACTGCAGAGTGTGATTGTGTGAACTCTAGGCTCCTCCTCTTCACAGTGTGGCCCAGTGGCCAGCTGCCCATCCAGGCCTAGAAGCTGGTTTAAAATTAAGCACTTGCTCAGCGCTGGACTTTTGGAATCATAATCTGCATGTAAATAGTACCCCTCCAGGCAGTTTGTAGTCTGAAAAACTACTCTAAAGCATAAATTTGAAGTATGATGGGACTACAATAGTTACTTCATTAGGCTTCAAGCCCATCCACGTTCTTTGCATGAACTCCCATGCAGCCAACAAGAAGTAGTCTTTCACCATGCCTCATCTTCCTATTAGTGTGTGTTCTTCATGCAGCTGTAGAATCCAATTACCTAGAACAGTGTAGAAGAGCCTCGCAGTTTGGGAAGGATGATAGAACAATTAGGTTCTGTGCTAACAGCTTTTCTCTGTAGTGTTTTGGTTACCTTTTTCCCATGAGCAATCCTGACCTCCAAATGATTCACCCAAGTTAATTTCAACAACCAAGGAGAGATTGAATGTATGACCATAGTGCCAACTTGGTTTTCCACTGCCAGCCAGTTCTCACTTTCACTATTTTCCCAAAGTTCAAAGTTTTTAATGCTTTCTCATATGGGTTCCATTTCGTTATAAAGTAATTTCTTTGCTCCAATTGAATCAGTCCATGAATCAAAAACCAGAATTTCCTGCATTGAGCCCCATTTACTTTGGTTGTATGCACCTAAGAAAACTCAGAGAACAAACTGGTTTTGAACAAGTTTCCAAACTATTTAACTTCCTAAAACAACTGAACCAGAAAGCTAAGTATTAAGTTCTTTGATCCAATTCAGTTCTGTGTGAATTCTGAATTCTTTTTTGCCACTACAAAGAGTTTAGTGGAAAAATGCCCCCTGTCTGAGATCTTTTCATGTTCTAATTCTGTTCCAATTTATAGTCCACCAAACTATTAAATCTTTGAAGACAGAGTCTAAGAGTGAATATAGATCTAAGGCAGGGGTTATGCTCACTGAGGACTTACTATGTGCCAGGCCTGCATATACAGAATTCTACAGAATCTTCTCATCAACTCAGTGATAAGTAATATTACCATCCATTTTACTTAGAGGAAATTTGAAACCTAGAAAGGTGAAATAACTTCTCAAGTCACATGAATGTAGTGATTGGTGGACCTGGAGTCTAAAACCCAGGCAGATTGACTTTCAAGCCCATGCTTTTAACCACAAGGCTATACTGCATCCAGAGCTACCATGTGGGTGCTGTTTGCCATATGCTCTGCTTCTATAATATAAGCCTCACAGATACCTTCTGACATGGAGCTTTTTTCTTTCTTTTCTTTTTTGCCTTCATGTTAAACAGATAAGGAAGCCAAGTCTATGAGAAGTTAAGTGATTTGACCAAGGTGATGCAGCTACCTCATGACAGGAGGGGAGGAACCCCTGCTGGGAAGCAAACGTGTTCTTCACCCTGCCCTTAGCTTCCAGGCCCAGTTGTTACAGTACATGACAATAACACGTTCATTCTTGGGCAGATACTCAGCACATTATGTGCCCAGTACTATGCCACATGCTTTATATGCATGATCTTATTTAAGCTTCACAGCAGGTATGTGAAGTATTAATAATTTTGTTCTTCCCATTTGTAATAGTGAAAGTAGTGATAATAGTAGTTTACATGTTTGTCATGTATAATTGTTATCATAATCCTATAATTTACATTAGAATATGATATATGGTGCTTTTATCTCTTTATAAGTAAGAAAGCAGGAACTTGACTGAATTTACACAGCCAGTAAGTGGTAGGATCAGGTTTATGCCCAGGCAGTCTGATACCAGGCCTGCAGGGTTAACTGTATCTTGTTTTTTGTCTTTCTTCCACAGGCCCCCAAATTGGCAGAAAACTTCTGTGTCTGCCATTTGGCCACTGGAGATATGCTGAGGGCCATGGTAGCTTCTGGCTCAGAACTGGGAAAAAAGTTGAAAGCAACTATGGATGCTGGGAAACTGGTAGGTTTGGTCGCATTAGTGAGTTGATATTCCTGAGTCTAGATCCACACTATCCAAATATAATAGCCACCAAACACATGTGGCTCTTTATATGAATTTAAAATTCAGTTGTGTGTGGCCTGGGGATGTAGCTCAGTTGGTAGAATACTTGCCTTGCATGCCCAAAGGCCTGGGTTCAAACTCCAGCACCACAATCAATCAGTCAGTCAATAAATAAATAAATGAAATTCAACTGTGCTAGCTATGTTTTGGGTATTCACCAGGCAACAAAGATATAGAACATTTCCATCATCACTGAAAGTTCTTTAGGGCAGCCCTGTACTATATTATATTATATTATATAAATTTTTAGAATAGCAAATTACTTGGTATGTTCTGAATTTGTGACTCTGAATTTATTTACAATGTTCTTTGTTTTTTTATTTTTATTTTTTTGGTGATGCTGAGGATTGAACCCAGGGCTTTGCCCACAGTAGGCAAATGCTTTGCCAAATGAGCTACATCCCTTATTCACAGTATTCTTGAGGTTCCTTTATGCCTAATGCTTTATTGTAATATATTAAAATTTTAGGGCCAAGACTGAAACTGCCATCCCTAAGCCAGAACTCAGGGGTATTCAAAAGAAGACTCAGAAAGTCACAGATATATTTTTTAACCTCTTGCATGGCGTGTTCTCTGTCTCTAACAAGGGAGTTAGCAATTGGAACAAAAATAATTCTACTTGGGGAATATAATGGAATTTTCTCTTGAGTTTAGACCAGTTGGCCTGATTGGACAAATACAATGTATTAGATACTAAATCTCTAATTAATGCCAGAGCTTAATTATAACTGAGTTATTCTAGAACTTGACCTCTAGAAATCACCTTCAGAAGTCATTTTGTGCTTGGTTCTCTGGTATTTTTGTGTCTGATTATGTTGGCTGGGGAAGGTACTGAGTTTTGCTTTCACCTCCAACTTCCTTTTAGGCTTGGAGTTACCCCATAGTATGTCTGCCCACCTAACCATTTCTTTTCTAGCTTTTCATTTATGTTAATGAGGCTTTCAGTCAAGTCAGCAGCTAGATATTTTATTTTGAACATTAGGTTTTGGCAGAAAATTCTGTACTGAGAAAATTGGGATGTGACCGTAGGATTGCTTCTCTCCAACCTTCTCTTAGTCATAGAGCTGATACTTTGTCTCCAAGTTCCTAGCGAGTCCTGACAAAAGACCATTAGCTACCATAATGGGCAACCTTCACTGCAACACACAGTAGGAACTTTTGTTTCTATAAAGGCTTAGCAGAAGAACCAGATTTTGAAAGTTGAGAGGGGTCCTTATTGGGGTTTCAGAGAGGTTCAGAAATGTACAGGTCCTTCAGTTCCATATTTCTAATCCAGTCTTACCAATTCAGTGAAATTCTCTGTTGTCTTATAAATTCAGGATTGCCCAGATGTGTGACCAAGCATATATCTCAGTCATTATACTTTTAGCCCAATCAAAATTGTGAATCAGGAATAGTTGGTGTCTGCCTGCATTCTAATCAGTCCCTTTTCTATCCTGGTTTTCTTGGATGATATCTTAGCCATGGACCCTCACTTGTGCCTTGAAGTCAGCTGGTTGTTGATAAGCTGTTATCTGATGGTTAGGACTCTTGACTCTAGTAGCAAGAGAGGCCTTCAGGACCTACCACATGGAGTTCTGGTGATCTGACAGACTGTAAAATCCCCTTCCCTCACCCAGATTTTTGGAACACAAGAGAATTTCAAGGGAAAAGAATATGTATGGCAAGTACAGGAACAATGACAAAACCAGGTCTTGCAAATGGAGCCACTTGCTCTCATTTTTGCTTCTTTGGGGTCAAGAGGACTTGCCATTTAGTAATTAAGTGAAACAAATAAAAACTTTTGACCCTAGAGTTAGACTAATGTCACCTAGTTAACAAATTTAAACCCAAGGCTGTTTTGTTCTTTACTTCCAGGTGAGTGATGAAATGGTAGTGGAGCTTATTGAGAAGAATTTGGAGACCCCGTCATGCAAAAATGGCTTTCTTCTGGACGGCTTCCCTCGGACTGTGAGACAGGCAGAAATGGTGAGTTGTTTATTATTTCTGTTACCATTTCCTCAGAGCAAACTCTGGCCCTTTATCTCTTAATCCCGTTGAAGGAGATGGGTCTGACCAAGCTCTGATAACTTAGGTGGGTCACATTCTTTTACAGCTTGATGACCTCATGGAGAAGAGGAAAGAGAAGCTTGATTCTGTGATTGAATTCCGCATTCCAGACTCCCTGCTAATCCGGAGAATCACTGGAAGGTATTTGTCCCTTAAAGGTCCCTTCTTTTCATGTTTCCTCAAATCTGTCACACTATGAGAATTGCTCTTACCTAATCCCACCCATGAAGCTTAGTGCCATTTCAACAAGGATTGATCTTACTTGGTCACATCCACTGAAGTGGTGACATGAGTTGACAATATAGAAAAAGAGCAAGGGATTTAAAGTCAGCATCTCAGTCCTATCTTTTTATCTTTTACCCTAGGCACTTTTTTTAACCTCTCTCTAAGGCTGTTACCTTTTCTGTGGTATAGGGTTGATAGTACTTGCTTCAGATCCTATTCAGATGCATGTTAGATAACAAAGTACATAGTTCAGAGCTTTGCTTATAGTAGGTGCTTAAGAAATTCCTTACAGGTGTATCTCTATTTTAGTTCTTTCTAAATCTGATTTCAGTGGAGTTTCATTGTTTGCTGTGGGCTTTTTATTAATTATAAAAAATAATATGACCATCTACACAAAATTTAGAAAATAGAGGAAATATTTGCTCATAGTGCAGAAATATGTTAGAAGTTCTCAGTCATGAATGGACCCTCCAGCTGGGCGCTGTGGCACACATCTGTAATCCCAGTGGCTCAGTAGGCTGAGGCAGGAGGATCGCAAGTTTAAAGCCAGCCTCAGCAGCTTAGCAAGGCCCTAAATAGCTCAATGAGGCACTAAGCAACCCAGTGAGACGTTATCTCTAAATAAAATATAAAATAGGGCTGGAGATGTGGCTCAGTATTCAAGTGTCCCTGAGTTCAATCCCTGCTACCAAAAAAAAAAAAAAAGGACCCTCCATTGTTCTCTTGAATATGGGCTATACCTTTTTTTATCTTTGTCAGTTTAATGAAGTCTCAGGAAAGTGGTCATTGCACTTTGATCTATGCAGATATCTATGATCATTATTTTTTAAAAAAACATTTATTTTTTAGGTATAGATGGATACAACACAATGCCTTTATTTTTATGTGGTGCTGAGGATCGAGCCCGGGTCCTGCCCGTGCTAGGGGAGTGCTCTACCGCTGAGCCACAATCCCAGCCCCTATGATCATTATTTTTAGTTGTCACTTGAAATTTCATGTAGTAGGTAGAACATTCCTTACTTAAGTATTCCCTTATTGCTGTACGTTTGTGTTCCTTTTGATTAGCCACTGTTAAATTGTTAAGTGTGATCATTATATGACATGTAAATTTTTAATTAGGAAGAAAATGGGTTCTTGTTTTAGACTATTTTGATTTTCTGAGGTTGAACATATTTTATGTATCTATAGTCCATACCTTCAAAGAGAAAGACAGACATATAAATAGATGGCAAAGTGATAGGAGAAATGTTTTCCTAGAAGGCTGTAGGAATTAGTCAGATCTACCTTATATTAATTTTCTTTTCAAATGTCCAAGTTTCATGTTTTCAGCTATTCCATAGCCTCCTTAATTGCAGGGACTTTTTTATTTCTTTGGATCCCTGTTGGGTACAGAGTAGACAAAGTTCATGCAGGCCAACAAGCAATAGGATTGACAGTTAGAAACATCACTAGGCCTGGAGTCCCTGAGGTGCAAAGCAGACTCAATGGGTTCAGCTTCCTGAGTACCTGCTTTCTACATAGCATAGTTATTAACCCTGCTGGTGGAGGACCAGAAGAGGCTCTACAGGAGGAACAGTGTAGTGATGCCCATCTCTGACCTCAAAGAGTCATATATTTGAAATCTGGGCTGTTCAGTAATTTAGTACAGTAGGAGGTTCAAGAACAGAGTCTGGAGACAGGGAGAGAAGCTGCCTAGGAGAGGTATGATATCAATTCAGTCTTTCTGGATGAAGAGAATTCAGTGAGTCAGACTTCTAAGAAGGGAGTAGAAGCAGGATTGAGTATGCATTGGAGAAGAATTCTACCTAGGACTAGTAGCAGACTTGTCTGCTCCGTAGTTAGAGGAGTACTCTGGAAATGGGGGGCAAAGTAAGTGCTTTTGGAAAGAGAAGATGGGAGTTTGATGGGAGGTCTACCAGACTGAACAGGGTGGACTTGACAAAGAGTTCAGGAGTCATGGGATGTTCTCAAGCCACTTGATGTTGGGGCAAAAAGTGCATTCTAAGAACATTACCTTAGTGTTAGCATACAAGGTAAATTGAAGAAGAAGAGCAACAAGATAAATACCCCATCTGGGAGCTTGCACATAAGCCACATGAAATGACAGAGGCCTGCAGCTAGGTGGGTGGGGATGGAGGGAGCAGAGATTCTAAAGAACTAGCTGCAGTATTACAATAAAGGGTAGAAGGGGAAGACTCGGCCCCTCCGTTTGGAAATGAGTGGTTTAGTGTGACTTCCTCACTCAAAGAAGAGGACCCATTCCCTCACAGGGCATGCCAGACTAGTAAAGATGTTTTTCAAAATTCACTGAGTAGATGGGTGGCAGAACCAGCACCAGAAACTTGCTTTCTGCTTCCTAGAATACTGCACTGATGGAAGGAAGGGAGGCAGATAGTAGACCGTTCAATGTAGCTCCTGTTTAAGGCTGAGGCGATAAGGACCTCATTATAATAGATTTCTGAATTAGTTACAGCCTCACTTATGATAATTTAGTATCTTGAATGTGATAGTTTTTATTTTTCACCTACTCAGTATTGGTTTTCTAGTATCCTATTATCTTACCAGTTGGCTCTGTGGTGTCATTATCCTAATGTCTAATGCTAATAAAAAGAGCTGATGCCAAATGGGGTGGTGCACACCCGTAATCCCAGCAATTTGGGAGATGAGGCAGGAGGATGCAAGTTCAAGGCCAACCTCAGTAACTTGGGCCCTAAGTAACTTAGCAATATACTGTCTCAAAATAAAAAGGGACCGAGATATAGCTCAGTGATAAAGTTCTCCTGGGTTCAATCCCCAGTACCAAAAATAAATAAATAAAAATAAACAGTGTCTGTAGATTCCAGCCTTGGTTGCTTCTCATTTTTGCCTCTATATTCAGGCCAGCCCAGTGACTCGTGGGGCTGTTTTTGTTGGTACTTGAAACTAATCCCATTTTGAGAACCTAGAGACTGGGCTTGCTTTCTTTCATTTACCTTCTGGAAAGCGAGCCTTGAATCTCTCTTTAAAATCAAGTTTGTGGTAGAGCGCTTGCTGACTATGCAAAAAAAAAAAAAAAATGTTTGGATGGGGAAAGAGCATGTTGTGTGTGAGGGAATCTGGGAATTCACAAATGGTAGTATAGAGATGAGGAAAGGAGAGAGTTGTATTTGTTGCAACATGGCTTCTATGTGCCGTGTGTCTTACAGGTGAAGAATACCATTGGGCCACATCTAGTGCCCCCAGCCTTTCCCATAGATAGACATGGCAGCTGAGCCCAGCAGCCTGTGCTTTCCCTCTCCCTGGGCCTCCCAACAGATGCCATTTCTGAATAGATGAATCAAAGGACCTCTTCTAGGGACTCAAATAATGGAGAGGCCAATCTCACCATACATGTTGCAGTCACAGTTCTCTCCTGTCCCCTTTTCTCCTTCCCATTGACCTACTATCACCTTATGCCATAAATGAATCATCTCTCCCTACCCCCTCAGATATGCTGAGATTAAAATAGTATAGTATCACATTCTGTTAATGTATGACTTCAGTAATATAAACAGAATTAGTAGAATTTCCCAACTGATGTGCTAAGATATTAATCCCCTCAGCCATCAGAGCAACTGGGTAGGCTTGGGGTGCCCATTGCTCCCAAGGAGCAAGCCCCCTGAGTGTTGTACAAATATTATTTCTGTGTATGCCAAGATGTGGAAAGTGTTGTTTTGTTTTGTCTGATCATAGACAGGACTCAAACCTCTGGGCTCAAATTACCTTTCTCCTTTAGCCTCTCAAGTAGCTGATATTATAGGAACAAACCACTGTACCACTTGGTGACTTTTTTAATATATCATTTGTCCTGAATATTGCCCTGTAATGGTTAGGCTGTGCTTTATCGATGTGATTGTAAAGGTATGCTGCATTATCTCGTGGTGTTCTTGTTCATGGAATTCTTTTTTTTTTTTTTTTTCCTGTTAGCAGCTGTTTGGTTTTGTAACCAAACTGGTTTGGAAAATGGCATTAATCCAGGTGTAGTGGCTGTTCCTCCTGTTGAGGCAGGAGGATCGTGAGTTATATGTTCCACAGTCCTTTCCCTGACTAAGCACTGCTTATGAACAGAAATCTCAACTCATTGCTTCCAACTAGTCTGAGGCTTCAACTTAAGGCCTGAATTGGACGAGGCACTATTAATGTTCATTAAATGAACTAGTGAATAGAATAGATGACTATGTGAGATCAACACCAGAACTCCTTCTTTCAAGTCCTGAATTAAGTAGTTATGTTAGCAGCTTGCCTCTTTAAACACTCATTGTGTTTGGTCAAAATAGAAAATACACCCACTCTGCCTTTGCATAAGTCGTTATTTTCCAAATCAATAGTTACCTTTAACTGGGTTTTCTGTTGGGTTAAAGGCTTTACATCCAGCTTTTTTGTCTTTCTTGCTCACTCAGGAGACTTTTGGGGTGCAGAGGCTACTTTCTGGCAACCCGATTCATGTACATTTGCTGTCTTTCAGGCTGATTCACCCCAGAAGTGGCCGGTCCTACCATGAGGAGTTCAATCCCCCAAAGCAACCCATGAAAGATGATGTACGTAAACTCAGGACAGGAAATGTTCTTTCTTCTTTCTCCCTTCATTTTTTGCTCCCTCTGTGTGTGTGTCTCTCTCTCTCTCTCTCTCTCTCTCTCTGTCTCTCTCTCTCTCTCTCCCCTTTGTTCTTTCCATCTTCCATTTTATCAATATTACTAACTTAACCATGAAAAATAGCACTGTTAATAAATCAGATGGCTTGTGACAAATCTGTATAGTGTCTCTCTGGGTGTTGCTTGACCTCAAAGCAGCTGCTAGTGCCAGCTGTTTCCCAGTGCCTTATAATATCTTCTGTCCCAAGTAACCCTGTTCTGATATGATATGACCATAAGTGGTCCGCTAATCAGAAAAAGGTTTCAGAGAAGCCCAGAACTAGGGGGTGGAGGAGTAATACTGAAGAGAAGTATACTGATCAGTTCTGCTTCACAATATCCTAGTGACTGCTCTGCTGTACCCTGGAGTTTCATACATGGTCATACATGGTCACTAGACCGTTTGCAATAAGGAGTGCATGTGATCTGTTGCATGCAGGCAACAGTGACAATTTCCTGGGTTTATCTTTGTCACATGAGATAAATTCATCAGGTCATCCAAGTTCTATAAATACAAATTCCAAAGCCATCATAATTTAGGCACATTTTGAAAAACTGGTAATTCTACCATTCAGAGTTCTTTCTCACTTCACTTTACACTATTAGAATGTTGATGGGTGATACTCTGGTACTTATGCTAAGTACTAAAACAACTAGGATTATAATTACTAATGCATCCCTAATTTCAATGTATTCTTCTTGTCTCGGGGGCCTCTATCTTTCTTGCTTCTCACCCTAGAAGTGTTCATCTTGAAAAATGAATAGCCTAAGCACAGACCTGTGAGAAAAAGGTCCTCTCTTGAGGGCCTTTTCTCATGTGTCTGATGGGTTCTCTGACTTCTCTGGACCTGCTAGTCTGCTACTGGGAGTGGGAAAATTCTTTACCAGAGAGGGTCTAGATTATCTGTCTTTGTTTCTTATGAACTATGGGATCAGACAACATCCTAGACAGAATAGTCTCATCTCACATCTGACATGGATAAAGAAACCTTGCAAATAGTCCCATCCTTTCATTCCCCTTCTTATTCTCAGATCACTGGGGAACCCTTGATCCGCCGATCAGATGATAATGAGAAGGCCTTGAAAATACGCCTGGAAGCCTACCACTCCCAGACCACCCCACTTGTGGAGTACTACAGGAAGCGGGGGATCCACTCTGCCATCAATGCATCCCAGACCCCTGATGTCGTATTTGCAAGCATCCTAGCAGCTTTCTCCAAAGCCACATGTAAAGACTTGGTTATGTTTATCTAATGTTGGGTTCAGAAAGGAATTTCTTCTTCCTATCCCTGTTAAGGACGTGGGTAGGAATGGCAGGGCAGGCAAAGGGAAGCGTCCTTCCTCAGGCTAGAAGAATTTCTCTTGATTTACTGATTAAAAAGCACTTGCTTGATGTACCTGGTGTGTAGGCAACTCTCATCTCATCTGTGTGTCTGTGTGTGTTATCAGTATGTGGTCACTCCTACTTTCTATGTTTGGGTCTCAGTTGCTTTACCAACTATTTATTTCTTTAGCCATACCCTTGTAGGTTTTTTTTTGTTTTGTTTTTTTGGCAGTGGTGAGGTACTGGGGATTGAATTCAGGGGCACTTGACCACTGAGCCACATTTCCAGCCCTATTTTGTATTTTATTTAGAGACAGGGTTTTAATGAGTTGCTTAGCACCTTGCTTTTGCTGAGGCTGGCTTTGAACTCACAGTCCTCCTGCCTCAGTCTCCCGAGCTGCTGGGATGACAAGCTTTCTTTAGCCATACTCTTGATTTTATTTTTTAACCAAAATAAACCATACCAGGTATCTGCCAGGTACCCAGTTCCAAAGCCTCATAGTATTTTTCCCAGCTGATAAGAAGTCCAAGGTCACATGAAGTCAGACAGTTCCTGATGTAGAGAGTTGGCAGGGAATTCCACTTTTCAGTCTACAATGAAAAGCTACAAGAGTCAGCATCTGGATAGGGATTATTAATTTCCCCCCAAATTGGGAAAATAAAAGGCACTTATATTGCAAATTCCAGAATTTACTGGGAGAAGTTATCACTATACAAAGAGCCAAGCCAGGTTGAAATATTTTTGTGATCTGTATCATGGTGCTGCTATAAGGTATGGATCCTTTGGGACTTGGGTTTGAAAACTGAATTGTTTCAAAGAATTAAACCAGGTAAAAGGTCCTTTGGAATTCAGATTGTCTTCTGAACATCCAGACTGGATAACTGAGAGCAGCCAAATCTACTTCCCCAAAGAGAGACCAGGGTAGGTTTTTTTGCTTTTGTTTTTAATGTTTGCCTTTGTTTCCAAGTATTAACAAAATAGTGATTTGGGGGATGATCTGTTCTTTTATTCATTTTGGTCAGAATTTATTCAAACCCAGTCCCTCTCTAGGATATAAAACCCAAATCAAATGTGTCCTTTTTAAACCCAAACCTCTCCCTCCCATCCAGTCTTTCGCCCTTTATTTCATGATGGTAATAGCTACGGAACCCAAGAAAAAAAATCACCCCAAAATAAGATCACCTATGACAGTCACAAAGTTTTTGTTTATAACATTGGCTTCCCTGCTATTAAGCATTTCCTAGGGTCCATGCTGTGCCTTTTGGTCTCTGGTTTGATTGTGCCAAACAGATGAATTAATGGGTTCCTGTGAAGAGACCACAAAACCTGCAGCCTCTGGAAAAACCATTAGAAAGTCAGTGGTACATTCAGTAAGTAATTCTGCCTGCCTCAGCATAATCTGCTGCAGTGGACTATAAAGTGCCCAGTCCCTATCTGACCTGAGCTGTCCTACTGTCTGTGAGACTCCTGGAGGGCTTGATCTCTGCCCACGTGGAAACTGGGCATGGATGTGTGGCCACCTTGTTTTCCTCTTCACCTAGCCAAGTGAGTGAGTGCTGCCTCTGCCCTACCTTTGCTCCCCTGCTTCTAATCTAACTCTGCCCTCTTAACGGAAACCCAGTCTGGTTTTGGGTGTTTCTGGGAAGCACATGGCTTCTGGGAATGGACAAGAAAGAAGAATGAAACTAAAACTATCAGCTATGCCTGCCAAGAGTCTGACATCCTTCTCTGAATGAGGGTGAACTCATGAATCTTGGAATTGACTCATGTTTGACCAAGGATAGTTTCAGGCACTTGGTCTCAGAGTCAGGGTTCTTGAATGTTTGCTAACTGAATGTGTGTGTTCCTTTCTTAAATATTTGACATTTGTTCACAACATTTACATGTGCACACATGCACACACGTGTGCAAGTGACATTTAAATTGCAGGTGAAAACTAAATGATCACAGGAGATAATATACCTTTCTGAGGTGATGATGATTATATTTTCGCTTCATTTAATTACAAAATCTTAACCTCAGCAGGCATGAGAGCTTTCATGGCAGAGAAATGTCCAGTGTTTAATGCATTTGGTTGCTGGGGCGTGCATGCCAACCTTTTCTGACATTTACTTGGTTTTTAAAAATCCATTTTGTTCTCTCTTGTTTCCTTTCTATTTCAGCCTAGTAAAGAAGGCCAGGCGAGACTGCACCACTGCTCATCACCCCGCGGCGTGATCCCTGCTGGGCAGAGGGGAAGGGTGTCAGGGGAAGCATGGAGAGGGAAGGACTATTTGGAAGACCAGCAGTGTTGTAGTGAGTGGGGGTTTTTTACATGTAGGTGGGAGTTTTAAAAATATAAACAATTAATTTAAAAAAAAAATACTGTGATTGAGGGTGTGGATACAAATAGGGTGATACAGTATTATTTCTAAGCAATCGGGTTTTCATTTACTCTGATCTGGTGACAATATATTTTAAAGCCAGTGTTCTTAGACCTCAGCTTTTATCTCAGAACCTCATGGGGTGCCAGGCCAAGAATGCAGGAAATCAAACTGTGGTCCTGTGTGTTCTGTAGCTTAGAAGAGAGGATGTTTGATTGTTAACGCTGGTGCCCCACACCATAAGATCAAAAAATCATCTCTATAGGCTAGGGATGTACCTCAGCAATAGAGCACTTGCCTAGCATGTGCAAGGACCTGGTTCAATCCCCAGCATCAATTTAAAAAAAAAAAATCATCTCCACACCTAAAAGAGATAAGGGGTGTATCGTTGGAGGTGGGGCTCCACAAATCAAGTTTTCTAGTGTTGGGGAAAAAAGGGGAGGTGGGTCTCTTTCCCTTCCCCTGATTCACCACTCTCATGGCTAAGCTCACTGTCTCAGCAACCACCCAGCACGAGCCACAATCTTATGCCTTCTTTCATCTGTGGTGTGTGAAAGGACCCTTTTTAATAAATGAGCAAGGGCTGGGGATGTAGCTCAGTCATATAATGCTTGCCTGGCATGCACAAGGCCCTGAGTTTAGTCCCCAGCACCATGAAAAATAAGTAAATAAAAATAATAAAATGAACAAGTGTCCTAAGCTATATCATCCAAAGATTACCCTTTCCATCCTCATATCCTGTGAGTGGGACACTCGACAGCACTGTGATGTATTATCTTCAATGAGGTGCCTTTCTTAATTGACCAAATGCTGCCTTGTTTGACCCTAAGTCAATAAAGTATGTTAAAAATTTGTATCCCCTGTTGTGGCTTTTTTCCCCCCTCCCCTAAGGGAACCTGGGCTAGAAAAATGATGTTGAATTCTGTACCTGGCCTGGAAACTTTCTCATGGTCACTAGCAGCCTTGTAGCAGGAATGTCTAAGTATGTGGTCCTAAGATGCACCTGCAGACCCTCTCAACTCTTAGGCCTTTTCTTGATCCCTGAGACTAGGCAGCTTGATCTAGTAGAGATATCACTGTGCTTGAAGTTCAGGAAACCAGGAACAGATCCCAATGTTGGTTTCCTCTCTTTTCCTGCTTCCTCATCTGAAAAAGGCCAGTAATGCATTTTCTGAGGCACTGGTATTAAATGAAGTTTATAAGGAGAAGCTTTGGCTGGGTGCCTGACATATAACAGACGTTGGAAAAATTGTTAGTTGGATCAGAACATACACAGAAAAATACCTGCTTCCTGCCAGGCTGTGTAATTATTGAATGGACAGCTGTCCACAGCCTAGAAAGCCGCTGCTTCTAATCCTAAGCCAGTTCTTTGTCTACCTTTAAGGCTGCTGCTTTCAACACCCTCAGTTGCTTCTTTGTGTGTCCTACTTTAAATCCATTTACTCCTCAACAAAAGTGAGCTTAAATGGTTTGTCCAAACTGAAGTTCTCATGCTTTTGGAAGGCTGCCTTCGCCAGTGAAGTTTCCAAGAAATTACTGCTGTTCCCAGAACTAGAGGGAGCTGGTCTAGAAGCACCGCCATTCTTCAGGCATCTTGTTACTGAGAAGCAGAGTCCTCACCAGCATACTAAATCCTGCTTCCTGAGCAGCCCCTCCCTTGTCTGCTCCTCCACTTCCTCACCTCAGCAGTCATTTTCAGGTGTCAGAATGACTGATTTGCTCTGATCGTTTCATTCCCCAAGCTATTTAAACACCCCATGAAAACCTTTCCTTGGGCATCATGTATCCAATTGGAAGGGAATGTTTGTCAAAACAGCCTACAAAGCAGCGTAGATTGGTTGAAAAGAATAAGATGAAGATGGCTGAGCAAGCTGTTCTTCATTTACTCCTTTGGGCCTTGGTGTCCTTGTTGCAAATCAAGATTTAATGATATGAGAATTGCCACCACTCCTGGAGTACTGACGTCACGCCAGGTACTCTCCATACTTGACTGCACATCACTCTCCCAAAACACCCTGTGCAGTTGGAACTGTCCTATTTTACAGGTGAGGAAGGCAAGGAGTCAAGTGATGTTCCTTAAGTCACATCAAAGAGGCAGAGTTAGGGCTGGAGTTGTGGCTCAGCGGTAGAGCGCTTGCCTAGCATGCACCGAAGCCCTGGGTTCGATTCTCAGCACCACATAAAAATAAATAAATAAAATGAAGGTATTTTGTCTAACCAAAAAAATAAATAAAAAGAGGACCGGTTTTAACAGCAGCTCCTCCACCATGAGGCCTTGGGTAACTTATCTCCCCTCATCAGTGGAATGGGAATGATCCTTACACTCAGGTGTGTTAACAACTGGTCACCAAGATGCTCATATGGGTCAGAACAGCCGATACACAGCAGGTACTCAGTAAATGCTAATGGAGTTCAGAGAGAAAATGTGGATATTGGTGAGAGCTGTTGTCTTCCTGACCAGGAGAACAGGCTAAGGATTCTTAGCCCTAGGATATCCTAGAAATCATGAACCTTCAAAAATATATGCAAAATTTTTCTTTTTATATTTTCATAATTAATAACATATTGGATGCTTATTGTGTAGGAGGTTCTGCATTCATTATTCTCAGTAAACCCATGGAGGTAAGTACTGTTGTAATCTGTGTGTTATGTGTGTGCATTTTGAGTCATACATGTGTGGCTCCACATCCCAGCTTCATACCATTGTGCTGGGTGATTTGACACTTTCCAGCGGAGAGGGGAAATATGCTCAGAGGCACTTATGTTACAGAAAAGGCCACAAGTCGTGGATCAAATGAAAGGAGAAATTTACCCAGTTATGCTCTGTCACAGTGAAGGATCTGAATGGGGAACACTGTCACAGGTAAGGTCATCTTTGATTTTATTATCTCCATGACTTCCTTGCCATTAGAAGGAAGCTCAGGAACTACCTTATTCCAGGATGGATTTGCAAAGCTTCTGGAACTACCTTATTCCAGGATGGCCAGGGGGCAGGAGAGGAGCCAGTTTCCCCCACCTCTGGTTCTAGAAAGGGTGGCAGCAGGAGGGGGTGTATATGGACTGTACTTCACAGTCATCCCTCACAGACTGCAGCTCTGTGTAGCTGTGGTCTTGAATTATTCATAACTCCAGAGGGAGCACCATGCTTCTGAGGTCTCCAGGATGTAGCAGCTCTGTTTAGAGTTGTCTGGGGCAGTGCGATGATGAACTTATCTCACAGATGGCCCTTTTCAGATGCTCAGACCTGGTTGAGTTGCCCCAGCTAAGTAGGTGGGAGTGGAAAGAAAAGGTATAGTAAACAAAACCAGACTTTGATCTTGTGCAGATGACCCTCAGGCCCATAGGCCAAACATACCTGCACTTTTAGGGGTAAAGTGGCTGTGGTTCAAATCATCCCCTTGTACAGTGGCCCTTAAAGAAAGACTTTTAGGACAGATTCCTCTGGGCTTGGATCTAGGAGACAGGTATGCTGTCAGTTTAGGTGGTCTTCATTCTTCTAGGTGAAAGGTGCTTCATTTTCTTGTGTTTTCTTTTTGGCCCTGGCTATGAGGAGACTCAGAATTAATCTTTTGCTCAACCTCTGTCCTTTCCTCTGCCAGGTTTCTTAATAAAATTTCTACCCCACCTCAATCTCGGTTGTTTTATGTTTAGCATTTTGGTGTTGTTTGTTTTGTAAACTGCCTATAGTGTCTGTTTTGGACCTTGAGAGCTTGTTTGGAGGTTCTAGCAGGGAAGCGCAGCTACTTGTATATCCTTGACCAAAAAACGTTTCTCTATTAGGGAAGGTCATCCTCTTTGACCGAGCATGCAGCTTCAGGAGGGACACACATGGAGCAGTGAGGGAGGAAGGGGACACCCTCCTAGCCAGCCAGATTAATCGCATCAACCCTGGCAATCAGTGGGGTGACAGATGTCCCAGCCAGATAGCCCTCACATCCTAGAGTCTGTTTTGGAAGAGAAGCAGGGTGTACAGGCAAAGTTAATGAGGCAGGGTCTATAGGTCAAGGGTCTTGTGCAGAGGGAGGACACAGGCCAGCAGAGTCCACTGTATTAGGGCTGTTCTAACCTAGTGACCCACCCCATAGAATTCTTGGGAAATCCACATCTTGAGTACTTTTCAAACAAAGTACAGGAACAATAGAAGGGAAATTTTTCAGCTCATGAATAATGTCAAGATCCCAGAACGGCAAAAGACAAGGATACATACACAGAATTGATAGCCCACTTTAAGTTCCACTCAGGTGCCATTTTTTCTCCTTCCCCCCAGATACATCATAGCCTGGAGCTTTGACAATGCATCAGGCCATCCTTTGCTGTGGGACTGAAAAGAGGAGGAATACTTTAATTTTCAGTCATGTCCCCACTGGTGTGAGCATGGGTTCTGGGAGTGACAGAGATCATATGTGGTCAGATCTGGGCACCGACTAGTTCACTATGGGCCTTGGGGGAGATGTTTAACCTCTATGCCTCAACAAACTCATTGTAAAATGAAGATCATAGCACCCCTGTAGAAGAAAGGGTGGCAGAGTTTATATGAATTGAAAAATAGCAGCTGCCTAATAACAGAATGGGTGTCTTTACCCGTTCCTATTCTCTAGTGTCTCCTTCATCCCCTTTGGAAAATGGTACCAAACTAGAACAAGTTATTTTTCATTTTTCATTGGTGTTTTTCCTGAGCTGCCAGCTGTGCCCCTGGATGGAGATGGGAATCAGTTCTCTTCCCCAGAGATGGTGATTCTCCTCCAGGTTGGCAGGAGGAATGTGGGCTGCCAGCTGTGCCCCTGGATGGAGATGGGAATCAGTTCTCTTCCCCAGAGATGGTGATTCTCCTCCAGGTTGGCAGGAGGAATGTGGTCCTGACATGGCAGCCAGATAGTGATAGTCATTTTTTGTTTGTTTATTTTTGGTGGTGCTGGGAATTGAACTCAGGGCCTTGTGTATTCGAGGAAAGCACTCTACCAACTGAGCTATATTGCCAGCTCAGATAGTGTTAGTCACTGAAAGTAAGACAGTCTGTAGTTGAAGATGAGAACCGGAGCCACTGCTAAAACCACACCTGGGGCTGGCAGGACCCGCTCAGATCCCACAGACCTGCTGCAATGGCTGCCTGCAGGAACTGTCATCCTTGAGGCCAGAATGGAAGGGAACAGACATGCATGATGAGACAGATCTGTATGCTTCAAAGGCACATGACACCAGGGAGGTGCTGGAGTGGGTAGAAGTCTAGTGAGAATTTGTTGGCTTCTGTTTTGAGAACCTTTGAAAACTGCCCTGAAATAAGGGAATGAGAGCAGCACCTTCCTGCTGGAGAGCAGGGCAGGATGAGTTGGCGTTTATCAGGTGCTTTTGAACAGAGGCTGCTCAGCGCTCTGGAAGCCCTCTCCAGCTGACAGCTCCAGCTCAGCCATTCCAGTTTGTCTGTGTATCCTAAGGAAATGACTGTGCAGAAAGCATTTTTTATAGCAGGATAAGAATTGGAAACAACCTAAATTTCCAGCAACGGGGGAGATTGGCTGTGATTCATTCATAGTATGTAATCCTGAAATAATGATTTCAAGACAGAAAAAATGTCATGATAAACTATTGGGTAGATAAACAGATTCTAAAACAATACAAACTGGGTTTATTTTTTAAAGTAAACTTTTTATTTTTAAATAATTCAAAGTTTATAGAAAAGTTCCAAAGATAATATATAGTTTCTGCCTATACTTAACCTAGTTTCCCCTATTATTAACATCTTACATAACTATAGTACATTTATCACAACTAAGAGATTAACACTTGCACATTATTAGAGTCTTACTATATTTGATTTTTCACCAGTTTTTCCACTAATGTCCTTTTGTTGTTTGTTCA